CTTTATGAACAGTTAACCAGTAATGTATAGTCCCTTTGTAGATCATAGTGTCAATACTGAATACAAAAAATGAGAAATTGCATTTTTATATGCTACCAGCATTATAGAAAATGAAAATTCAGCAGCTGGGCACAGTAGCACATTCCTGTGCCTTCTAGCTACCTTGGAGACTGAGTAGGAGGATCACTTGAGCCCAGGAGTTTGAGGCCAGCTTGGGCAACATAGTGATGAGTCCCTGTCTCAAAAAAATGTGTACCATTGAAAATCTGATAAAGTATTTTGATTATTGTACTTCAGGGGCAGGAGAGTCTAATGAAATGTGAAAGACCTTTTGCAAAAGCTAAAAAATATTAGAAAAAATAAACTTAGTGGTAAGATATATAGTATTATGAATAAATACTATGAAAGTATCAGTTTTTCAAACTTGTGTATAGACTGATTACTAAATCTAAACAGATTTTCTTTTTTAAAATGAAATTACAAGTTGATTTTAAAATATATATGTAAAAAAGAAAACATCTTAAAAAGTAAAAAAAAACAAAAAAAAAGAAAATATGTATGTAAAAATAAAGTGCCAAGAAAAAGGAAAGAGGACTCATTCTTTCAGATATGGAGACTCAACTAGCAAACAGGGTTGATTGGTGATGTAGTATGGACATAAGAGGGACAGCCTAGCAGTGGAATACCATAAAGGACCTAGAAGTAGAACCATGGATGGCTGGCTTCTGATCTATTATAGTGTACCCTTACAGAGCAGTGAGGACAAAAATAAATAAATAAATGGACATATGAATATTCACATGAAAAATGTGAATTTTGATCACAACTTCTCATCATACACAAAAATCAACCTTAGTTGAATTGCTCTAAATGTGTTAGGCAAAACAGTAAAGCTATTTGAAGATAATATAGAATATTTTTGTGATATTTGAGGTAGAGGACTTCAAAAAGACATATAAAACATTCATCATAAAAGAAAAAGATTGATAAATTTGTATTAAGATTAAGAACTTCTCATTATTAAAAAAACCATCGAGAAGTCAAAAGGATAAGCATAAAGTGAGAAGATGCATAGTTGCTTTCTGTATCTCTGAGGGCCGATCACACATATTTGGGGGAAAAATTGCATCCATATTGAACATGTACAGTTTTTCCCTGTCACTATTCCCTAAACAATACAGTACAATAAGCATTTACATATGTTAGGTTTATAAGTAATCTAGAGATTATTTAAAGCATATGGAAGGATGTATGTAGTTATATGCAATACTGTATCATTTCACATAAGATGTTTTAGCATTCATGGATTTTAATATCCATGTGACTCCCAAGTCTCGTCTTGCACAGATACTAAGGGATGAGTGCCATGACTGGGAAAATTATTTTAGAATATATGAAGAATTCCAATCAACAAAATAATCAGACAAACAAATAGAAAACAGGTTGTCATAAATGAGGATATTCCAAATAACCAATAAACATAGGAAAATATTCTTACTGTCATTATCTCATCCAGAAAATGCAAATTAAAATTGTATCTGAAATACACAGTAAAATACTGTACAATCAGCACAATAGTAGAATTAACCTTCATTATATCAAGTGTTGCTCTTTCATGTACTGGTCATGAACTAGAACTTGATAGAATCACTTTGGAAAAGAGTTTAGCATTACCTACTAAAAGAGAATATGTACATGCTTACTTTTAGCTGTGTACTCATCAGACACACATGCATGGGGGATCCAGAGCCAGTACAGAATGTTTATACACATTTCTTATAATCAAAGTGAAAACTAGAAACAAAAATATCTATCAACATTATGTGGATAGAGTTCATGCAAAAGAATATTATAGCAATGACAATGAATTTACTCACAGAGAATAGTGAATGGATCTCAAAGATATAATGTTGAACAAAAGAAGTCAGATACAAAAGATTTCAAAAAACCAAGCACAAACATCAGGGGCTCACAGATACATGTTTACCTGGTGTAGGCAAGAAAGTAATTGTCATAAAAATCAGAAGTAGTATTATCTTTGGGGGACAGGAGTGATAGCATTTAAAGGTGTGAGGGCTTTTGGAATGCTGACAGCACATGGCTCCTTGGGATAAATCATTGAGGTGAGGAACACAAAGCAAAATAAAGGAATGAGTATCAGACATCAACTTCCTCCCCAACAATACTCAAAGCTGGAAATCAGTAGAGCAGTGGCTTTAAAGTTCTGAGAGAAAATTGATTTCAACAGAAGACAAACTGTCAAGGATAAGGGCAGAGTGTACATATCTTCTGTGTACTTTTCTGGGGAGAGACTTTGAAGATGTACTCCAACAAGCAAGACAATACAAGATGGTATAATACAAGAAACAGTGGAGGCCAGTGAAAAGAAATCCCAGGATAATAGCTGTGTTACCAGGCTTTAAAACAAGTTTTAAGGAACATGTATCCAAAGAAATGGAATGAAATAGGTTCTGAACAATAAGTATGTGAGTAAAATATAGGAAATCTGGTGAAGATATATTTTTTTAATAAGGAAAAATTTATTAGAAAACTTGTGGGGAAAGCTAGAAAAAGTCATGATCTAAATGGTAAAATTAAAAAGGACATGATTTTTAACGAATTGATGAATGTAAGAAAAGAGAACCATTTCCTCAATGAGAATGTAGAAATATTCTCATTTTTTGTGTGTGGCAGCAAAGATCATCGTGGTCTTAGGAATAAAATGTAATCCCAGTTATTTATGTGTACACATACATATAAACACTCATTGTATTGGTCTTCAATTTTTAAATACATCCTGAAAAAAAACAGAAGGCTTAGCTATAAGTATTAAAATAAATGTGTTTGTAAGCTTGACTATATTAACACAGAAGTCTGGAGGAAAGAGAGGAGAGTGAAGAAAACAGAGAAGGGGATGGAATATAATGATCTCATTTCACATACTAGAGAGTCAAGAGGTCCCTTTGAAAGTTGGCCTGTTATTTAGAGTTACAGTAATGAAGGAAAATCTAAAAAATAGCACAACAACAAAACTGGCAATCTTTGAGGATTTCAGAAGTATCTTAATTCTCAGCTTTCATAATGGGAGAAATGGTTGTTTTCTGAAGTTGATAAATGAAAACATCATGGTAGAAATGTATATTTTTAGAGTTAAATGAATCACAAGAACCAAAACCATGAATAATCATGGAGTTGGAACCAGGAGTTAAGAAACATGTGTCCACTCATACTTAGAATTGGTCCACTTGGTTTATTTGGACATATTTTAAATTGAAGAATAAAAATGTATATGTTTGTAATTATAGCATTGTTTAAAATGTGTATACATTGTGGAATGACTTAAAATGAACTAATTTACATCTATATTATGTTTTCTATGATGAGAACACAAACTATTGTCTTAGAGATTTTCAAGGAATACAATACATTGTTATTAACTGTAGACACCATATTATATGGTAGAGCTCTTGAACTTACTATCTAACTGAAATTTTGGACAAAAATTTATGAACCAGAAAGATACCTGTTTTCAGATTCTTGAGTCTGAGAAATATATAGGTATAAATATACATATGTGTACATGTACATTAATTAATGATTTATTTCACAAGCAAATTTATCTTCAACTTCATGATTCATATGATGGTACATTTGTATAAGGGATATGGATTTATATATAGTGTATAACACATATACTTATGACTGAATTAAAGTGACATTTCTAATAATTCTTAATCAAATGCTACAATAAAAGCCTTTAACTTAAAATAGATTGAATTAAGTTAGTATGTTTGACAAAAAGCATTATTAATAGAAAGAATAAATATAAACAGTGTTATAAACTTAATAGAATAAATAAACAAATAGAAGCAATATTCAGAATTATGTCTGGATTCTCGCATGGTCTTTAACTGCTTTGAACCCCTGATGAGTAGTCGAAGGATAATAACACTAATGATACTATAGTGCTAAATTGAAACTGAAAATACGTAGTCAGGCTACTCAATTTTTCATGCCTAATTTCTAGAGGAAAATGAACACCAAATTTCATCAAGGAACTTGAGATATGGGAAACACAGGCTCTAGATTTTATTCTTACTATAATAGGAGGAGGTATTTCCAGCAAAATTTTATATATAGCAATTGCTTACGTCAGCAATCTTGTATCTTGGGGATTTACCATGAGCTGAGATTTTGGCTTCTGTTTCCTTTTCAGATTCTTTCGTCTGGGAAAAACACAATCAATCAAAACTCTTATTGCATTTCTTTCATGAGCTCAACCATTCCTCTGCTGTGATATTCCATATCTGCTGTGACATGCTTATATTTTAATCGTTGATACCTGAATTTTTTCAATTTCTTGACCTGTTAAACCAGAGATCTCATTTCTGACCAATCTAACATTCTTTGTATGAATTACCTGGTTCTGAACATAATCATCTCAACTATCAATGAAAATTGATGTGGAAAAGATTACTGAGTCCCATCCTAACTGCAGCTTGAAATGCCCCTCCTCTGTAGGGAGTTAGTTCATCCTTCAGGCTTAGCCACTCACTTTGCTTTTCATATTTTACTTTCACTAGAAACAAGCAAAAGAAACATTTTTCCTTATTTGTTAACTCATTTTCAAAGACAGTGCATTGAATGGGTGGGGCACAGTGGCTCAAACTGTAATCCTAGCTACTCTGGAGGCTGAGATCAAGAAGATAGCAGTTCAAGGCCAGTGCAGGCAATAAATTCATGAGGCCTCATTCAAACCAATGACTGGGCACAGTGATGTGCACCTGTCGTCCCAGCTCTTCGAGGAAGCATGAATAGGATCGCAGTACTCAGGCCCAGGATAGAGCAAGATGCTACCTCAAAAAGCTGGCAGAGTGGCTCAATGATAGCACTCCTGCCTAGCAAGCGAGATCCTGAGTTCAACCAGAATGTATATTCTCCATTGCTATTTTTTCCCAAAACCATTCTGATAGATTGTTTATTTTATTTTCCTAATATAGTGCCGCTTTGATACAGTTCTTGGGATAAATGTTGCAGTCAAGAAACTAAGTCGTCCTTTTCAGAATCAAACTCATTGCAAAGAGAGCTTATCGTGAACTCGTACTCCTAAAATGTGTCAATCATAAAAATGTAAGTTATGTTTTTCTTTGTACATGTGCTGTTGATTATCAATTATGTGATAATCTTCATTATCTTTGGAGATACACTGAGTTCAGACCCAGGATAAATTAATGATAAGAATAACTAGTAAGCTGCTTTATATTTTATTGATAAAGTTCTTAATGAACTGGAAAAATTGAATAGGAAGAGGCTTCATGGCCCATAGAATTTTAAGCCACTAACTAAGGTAGGAATACCTTTTCACTACTTCTTTTTCATAAAATGGGAACAAATATTGACCTAACAAATAGAGGAAAAACTAATATTTGTGGAAAAATGTTGTATAAGTAGCTTTTTATCCTGTAATGTGGAGATCTCAGTTTTAGATATAAGTTACTAGATGATGTTAATTTAGGAGCTGTAGTTGGAATCAAAGTTTACTGAGTTTTGTTTTTTGTTTTTTTTTATTATTCATATGTGCATACAAGGCTTGGTCATTTCTCCCCCCTGCCCCCACCCCCTCCCTTACCACCCACTCCCCCCCTCCCTCTCCCCCCACCCCCAGCAGAAACTATTTTGCCCTTATTCTAATTTTGTTGTAGAGAGAGTATAAGCAATAATAGGAAGGAACAAGGGTTTTTGCTGGTTGAGATAAGGATAGCTATACAGGGCATTGACTCACATTGATTTCCTGTGCGTGTGTTACCTTCTAGGTTAATTCTTTTTGATCTAACCTTTTCTCTAGTTCCTGGTCCCCTTTTCCTATTGGCCTCAGTTGCTTTAAGGTATCTGCTTTAGTTTCTCTGCTTAAGGGCAACAAATGCTAGCTATTTTTTAGGTGTCTTACCTATCCTCACCCCTCCCTTGTGTGCTCTCGCTTTTATCATGTGCTCAAGTCCAATCCCCTTGTTGTGTTTGCCCCTAATGTCCATCTAATTATGGGAGAACATACGATTTTTGGTCTTTTGGGCCAGGCTAACCTCACTCAGAATGATGTTCTCCAATTCCATCCATTTACCAGCGAATGATAACATTTCGTTCTTCTTCATGGCTGCATAAAATTCCATTGTGTATAGATACCACATTTTCTTAATCCATTCGTCAGTGTGGGGCATCTTGGCTGTTTCCATAACTTGGCTATTGTGAATAGTGCCGCAATAAACATGGTGTGCAGGTGCCTCTGGAGTAACCTGTGTCACAGTCTTTTGGGTATATCCCCAAGAGTGGTATTGCTGGATCAAATGGTAGATCGATGTCTAGCTTTTTTAAGTAGCCTCCAAATTTTTTTCCAGAGTGGTTGTACTAGTCTACATTCCCACCAACAGTGTAAGAGGGTTCCTTTTTCCGCATCCTCGCCAACACCTGTTGTTGTGGTGTTGCTGATGATGGCTATTCTAACAGGGGTGAGGTGGAATCTTAGTGGTTTTAATTTGCATTTCCTTTATTGCTAGAGATGGTGAGCATTTTTTCATGTGTTTTTGGCCATTTGAATTTCTTCTTTTGAGAAAGTTCTGTTTAGTTCACTTGCCCATTTCTTTATTGGTTCATTAGTTTTGGGAGAATTTAGTTTTTTAAGTTCCCTATATATTCTGGTTATCAGTCCTTTGTCTGATGTATATGGCAAATATTTTCTCCCACTCTGTGGGTGTTCTCTTCAGTTTAGAGACCATTTCTTTTGATGAACAGAAGCTTTTTAGTTTTATGAGGTCCCATTTATCTATGCTATCTCTTAGTTGCTGTGCTGCTGGGGTTTCATTGAGAAAGTTCTTACCTATACCTACTAACTCCAGAGTATTTCCTACTCTTTCCTGTATCAACTTTAGAGTGGGGTCTGATATTAAGATCCTTGATCCATTTTGAGTTAATATTGGTATAGGGTGATATACATGGATCTAGTTTCAGTTTTTTGCAGACTGCTAACCAGTTTTCCCAGCAGTTTTTGTTGAAGAGGCTGCTATTTCTCCATCGTATATTTTTAGCTCCTTTGTCAAAGACAAGTTGGTTATAGTTGTGTGGCTTCATATCTGGGATCCTCTATTCTGTTCACTGGTCTTCATGTCTGTTTTTAAACACTGAGTTTTAAGGAGAAATACTGTCTCTAGAAATAGTTTTTGCTCAACACACTGTTTTTTCCTATTAGTGGTCTCGAATTATTATTTGATAACCTTTTGCCTTATGTGATGAAATCCATAAGATGTGAAAATCTGGAATGGTTTTGAGACCATTCATGAGGGAAAATATTTAAGATTACACTAAGTATTGTTATGGTTTGCTTGTTGTTTTTAACATTATGCTAGATCTTTCTTGTATAGGGAAGTTAAACATGAAACTAAGCTTCATTGTTTTGAGTTGGTTTTAATTTCTCCAGTGCATGTTTTAATATTTTTTAGGTTACAAAAATATATGTTTATTATTTTTAAATTTTTGAACAATGGTAGAGCGCCTGCCTAGTAAGCATGAGGCCCTGAATTCAACCCCAGTACTGCAAAAAAAAAAGAAAATTTGAATATAAATAAGAAAGCTAAAATCTGAGTTCCACCATCCACAGACACAGATTATTAGCACTAACATTCTGGTTGGCATTCCAATGCATGCGTATGTGTGCACGTATATATAAAGAAGATCAATTTTGTTATTCTACATCCTGTTTTTCCTCTTGGCAGAATGTCAGTAGATTTCATATTCTTCAATGAACATAGAAACGAACCATCTTACATACTTGCTTAATGTAGATGCACAATAATTTGTTTAACCAATAGCCTATCATTGAATAGATTATTTCCAGTTTTTTGCTGTTATAAGCAATACCACAATGAACACCCTCGTACATGCATCTTTGTGCACTTATCCAGGTGAATCTCTTGGCCAAGATTGCTGGTCAGAGAATAGGCACACTTCTGATTTTAATAAATGCTGACAGTTGGCCTCAGAAAAGACTGTCAGTTTTACATTTTCATTTGAGAATGTTTTTCACTTCAAAATCCACCAGTATTATAAAATCAATATATTATTTCCTGTTTTCTTTTTGTTAGTCTGATAGATAATAAAATCTGTTTTTCATTTGTGAAGCTGAATTTTTTTTACATATGTTTATTAGTCATTTATTGAGAATTTGATTTTCATGGTCTTTGTTCATTTTTCTTAGACTTCTGGTCTCAGGCAATTATAGGAGGTATTTGTGTGTTAAAGCTATCAACCTTATTCATTCACTCATTCACTCATTGAGACGAGGTCTTACTACATAGCCCAGGCTCACCTGGATCTTACTATGTAGCCCAGGCTGGCCTCAGTCTCCTGAGTGCTGAGATAACAGTTGTGTGCCTTCGTGCCCAGTTTAAACCTTTTTTTTTTCCATTTGACATTATTTATGTTGCTTTCATCATACTGATATTTTTCTATTTTTGGTTTTGTTTTAATGTAATCAGATATCCTCAGTTTCCTGTCATACTTAGAAAGTAGAAAAGACTTTTCTACACCAGGACTATATAAACATTTACCCATATTCTAATATCTTACAGTTTTATGTTTTAGAATTAAATCTCTGTTTCATTTTGAGTCTGTCTTGATATAAAGACTGAAGTATGAATGGAATTTTACTGTTTTTCCTTGACTAGCCGGTCACCTCAGTTTTGTTTTTTGTTTTTTTTTTTTGATACTAGGGTTTGAACTCTGGGGCCTTTAGGCAGGCACTCTACCACTTGAGCCATGCCCCCAGCCCTTTTGTTTTAGTTAGTTTTTGAATAGGATCCCCCATTTACACCTGGGCCAGCCTGGACCATGATCCTCCTACTTACACTTTGCACTTAGCTAGGATGACAGGTGTTGTCACATACCCAGCTTCTTGTATTGGTTGAGATGGGGTCTTGAGAACTTTTTGCCTGGTGGGCTTCAAACCACCATCTTATTGATCTCCATCTCTCACATAACTAGGATTACAGGCATGAGCCACCACACCTGGCACAATTCTGTATAATGAAAAACTGTCTCTCCCTTGGTCATTTGAAATGATTGAGAGTGGATGTTTGATGCTCAGAGCAGTGAGACTCAACTATGGGGTTCATGAAGGAAGTCTGCAGTATGATCAGCTCTTTAATCCTCTTTAAGGAAATATATAATGCTATAAAGCATTTCATCTTTATAAGATGAAGCTTAGCCTTCATATATTAAAATTTTTTAGAAACTTATAGATACTTTTTAAGTTTTCAGAGTTTATGTATTGCTTGAATTTGTGTTTTTTCAACCATAATTTCTAGTCTTTTACATTCAAAGCCAAAAAGCCATTATGTGTTTACTGTAATAATAATTTAAGCTATTAGGAACATATAAAAGTGATCTGATTAAAAGTATATCTTATTTTCAACTGATGCTTAACATTTTTCAAATGCAATGTAATAGAATGTTTTGATTATAGCCATCATAATAAATATTGAACTCTACTATGATTTTTTCCATTTTTAATATATTTTAATGTTCAACTTAATTTTTATAATTCAAGAGTCATCTGACATACTAATTTTCTCTTTTCAGATAATTAGTTTGTTAAATGTGTTTACACCACAAAAAACTCTAGAGGAATTTCAAGATGTGTAAGTATCATTTTAATCAAAGACAGAACAATTTAGAAAAGAAGGTAACTGATTTTTATACTTAGGAAATGAAGTGACCATCCATTTTTAATGATATCATTACATTTTTGTCTATGGATTGCAAATACTAAGAAAGTGGGTAGTAATCTTTAGTTGTTTTTATCTAGAGGTTTATCATCTTTGCTAAGATAACTGGAAAGAAATCCTCAGAGAATACAGTAACTATTAATGGTTCTACCCTGTTTTACTGAAATATAAAATGTTATTCTCCAGTCCCCCAGCCAGGACTGCAGGGAGGCTCAGGTGTTTACAAGTATTATTTGAAATGATTATGTCATGTATTCTGTTTCCAGGCTCTTAAATTGAATTACTATACTGACTAACAGTAAAAATGAAATAACTTACTATATTGAGGCATAATGCCCAACTTCATCCTACATTTATTGATATAGTCAGTCATTCATCAAATATTTGATTCTCACCATGTGCTACACATTCTGTTAGCCTTGGTGTACATTAGTGACCAACAGAAGCAAAACTTCCTTTCATCACTTAAGAACTTTAGGTGGTAAGTTCCCTCCTAGAGCCTGCCAGGGGAGCCAGAAAAGATAAAAGTGTTTAGTCCACTGGAATGTGTTCAGTGCTTTGGGAAAAAATGTTAAGCTGGGTTAGGAGATGAGAAGTGCTACAATTTGAAAGTTAGGCTGCAATTTTAAATCAGGTGGCATATTGGTTCTTGAGAGAGAGAGAGAGAGCCAGTAGGGAAAAGAGAGAGAGAGAGACCACACTATGTGAGAGGGGATTTATGAGCAAAACTGGCTCATATGACTTTGGCAGCTAAGAACGCCATGATAGGCTTTTTGTAAGCTGGAGACCCTGGGATGCTGCTAGCATGGTTCAGCCCAAATCCAAAGACCACAAAACTAGAGAGGTCAGTGGTATAACCTTTAGTGTGAGGCTGAAGCTCTGATTACCTGAGGAACTGCTGCTATATAAGTACTAGAATTCAAAAGCCAGGGGACTTACAGCTCTGATGTCTAATACAGCAGAAGAAGTCTCTCAGCTCTTGGAGAAGAGATGTTCGCCTTCTCTATTTGGTTTCTCCAGGCCCTTGGCCAATTGGCTGGTGCCTGCCTACTCATATAAAGGGACAAATATTCCCTATTAGCTCACTCACACTCACATGCTAATTGCTTCCAGGGACACCCTCCCAGACATACCGCAAATAATGCTTTACTGGGCTTCTAGGTAGAGTATTCCTTAATCTAGTCAAGTTGGCACCTAAAATTAGCCATCACAGGGTAATTGGAGAAAGAACTCACTGAGATGGTGACATTTGAAGGAAACCTTGAAGGTGATGAGGGAGTTAGTCTTAGAGATATGTGGAGCAAGGTGAAATGGAGATAGAAGGGTCAGAAAGAGCAGAGCAACAGCAGTGGAGGATGCCTGGTGTGTGCTAAGACCAGCAAGAGTGGCTGGAGTGGGAGGAGAAGGTGGGCTCAGAGAATTGGCATGCTGGACACTGCTGAGGCCTCTAGGACACTGTAAGAGGATCCCTTTGCTGTAAGGCATGTCAGAGTACAATTTCTAGCAGAACAATGAGCTCACCTGGCTTGTGTTTTAAAAGAATGACTAGGGGCTGGTGAAATGGCTCAAGTGATAGTGGGTCTTTCTAGATAGCATGAACCCCTGAGTTCAAGCCCCAGTACCACCACAAAAAGAAAAAAAGAAGAAGAAGGATTGGTTTCTGGGTTGAACCTACTGTAAAGTGGGAACTCAGAAGCCCAGTTAGTAACAGAGCCTATTGGAGCAATTCACATGAGAGATTATGGTGGGTAATAATGAGAGTGAAGGGAAAAGATTAGACACAGAAACTGTTTTGAAGGTAGAGCTGCAGCATTAACTGACAGCTAGGATGTATTGTATGAGAGAGAAGAGTCAAGAACCACTCCTGAACACCTGCCAGAGGAATGAGCTCTCAGCCAAGATGAGGAAGGCTATGAGAAGAGCAGATTGGGGGTGGGGAGCAGATAGAATCAGGAGTTTAGTTTCAGACATGGACTTGGAGATGTCCATTGGACATCCAAATGGAATTGTGAAGTAGGAGAATAGATAGGGTTGAAGGTCTGGGTTGAAGCTAGGATTTCAGGAGTCTATAAATGGTATTTAAAGCTGTGAAGTAGAGATCACCAAGGAAGTTGAGTGTAGTGAGAGAAGAGAAGATGGATCAATTACTGGCCACTCCAACAGGAAGAAGTAGTGGGGAACAGGAGAGGGCAGGACATTTGATAAGTTAGTTGTTTTTCATGTTCTTTGGAAAATTTTTGCAAAGTTCAGTTATACATTTGATTCTTTTCAAGTACCTTATACATGTTTAGAGAAAACAACTTGTCTTTTTACTTCAGCCAGTGCAATGATTAGATAGTAAGTTATTACTGTTTCATAAAACTTCTGGTTTAGTAACCATAAAGAAATTTTAGATAATTTCTTTTTTTTTTATCCTCAGGTATCTGGTTATGGAATTAATGGATGCTAACTTATGTCAGGTTATTCATATGGAGTTGGATCATGAAAGAATGTCCTACCTTCTTTACCAGATGCTCTGTGGTATTAAACACCTGCATTCAGCTGGTATCATTCATAGAGTAAGTAGTGACATAATTTATTTTTAAAGAAACCCTTTTTTGATTATCACAATCCTTTAGACACAAAAGAACTTAATTTCTTTTTTCAATTTGGCAGTGTTGAAAATCCAGGTAAGCTATGGAATCAAGTTGTATTTCAAAATATTGTTCAGATCAGAAAACATTTGTGAAGCAAATGGGCCTGGTTTGGCCAGCCCAGTATGAGTTAGCTACTATGGACACAGGGATAAGGGAGCTACCTCCATGCTCCTGCAGCTCAGTCTAGTTCTGCAGAAGAATCCTTTTTTCCTTTAACTTTTCATTAAAAACTTAGAGGAAACTTGAAACTTAAATTCAAATTGCAAAAATACTACAAAGAACTCTCAATTACCATTCATCCAGATTCATTTCACATTTGAAATCCTCTTTTAAATAAGCAAGGAATTTAAATTTGGGTCCTGGTAAAGTTAGAAGCCAAGCTGTATGATGGTATTACCTACATATCAAGAAGTAACATTTAAAAACTTGGGAGATAAAATGTAATTCTCTCAGCTGGTTATTTTTTGACTTGTACTGCTATATAAGCAAAACATCATGATAGCATTGAGTGAGACTAGAAACAGATAATATAATTTTATTGGAAATAGGTATTCTTAGCATTCCTGAATTGTTACTATGCTCATTTTGTTGACAGACTGTCTAGATTTTATGTTCCAATAGTGAGAGAAATCCTCTTGTCTGAACTAAAGTCTGTATGGGGAAGCAGACAGTGAAACAAGGACAATGAAGCCTGTTAATTCAGAGAGGAGTTACTGGTGTTTTGACCATATAACAGCAGTGTTAATTCTTCCTGATCTGTTGGTTGCCAGGATCTCTTGGGTCCATCTCAGCCACTGAACAGAGGCTTCCTGTGGCAGCAGAGCCCACCCACTCAGAAAAGGGAGAGGCCTGGGTCCTTTCGTGAACCTCAGGTCTGCGGCACAAGGCCAACATCAGGGCTTGTCCTTCTCCCAGGGCCTGGCACACTGATTAAGCATACAGTCTGCCAACCAGTGTGCTACTGTTCAAAGTGTAGCCTTGCTGCCACCAAGTGGTCAGTTAAAATAATATAAATTACGGGGGTGAATTCAATATAAAATTGTGACACTACGCTCCTAAATTAAAAATAAAGATTCCTAACAAACCATTCTATTTATCTTCCTAAATTTTTCACAGACATTTAAGTAAGGCACTCTTAATATTTCTTACATAAATTTTTTAGTTAAATTTATGCTTTATCTAACCAACGTACAATATAAGCCTATTTGTAATTGTCACAATGAATTCCCCCATACAATGAATATATCGCAATTTTTTTTTTAAATTATGCTTTAGACTAATTTCCTAGATTCTTAGGCTGTATTATTTTTGGAAGGAGAAACAGTCGCCTTACTTGTTTCTCCCTTCTCGGGCCCAGGAGTAAGTGTTTTGGAAAAGACTGTTCCACAATTCGTGGAGACCTCCTACGAGCTCTAGCACACACTTTCTATTTTTTTGGAATGTCCAGTCCTTCAGCCCAGGTCCACTCCTGTCAACCAGCAGGCTATGTAGGACTCAAAGAAGTGTGTGACTTGCCTAGCACAGTGTTTAGAAACCCAAGAAAATTATTCTGTGGCCCACTTCCATACCTTGTCCACCAGGGCCTTTCTACTTCTTTCCCATTCTCTTGTACCCTCTTGCTTCACATTCATGTTGTGTTTACTTGTGAAGGTGACACACTCATTGAGAAGTTCCAAAGAGGGCACAAGGACATAAAACACAGAATGAAAGTCTCCTATTGTAATCTCACCCTACCACACCACACCCCATCCAAGTCCCAAGAGGTGAGGGACCCTAAGTTAACCTTTTAGCATGAAAGCCACCTGGTATGAACTATACCAGTCCTTTTTCCTACCTACAGTACCATACAAAGAGATATGCACCTCTAATTTTACTTATTAAAATGGTTTCACACTAAATATAAAATTTAATTTTTTGAAAAGGAAAGTTTTACCTTCTACCACTTTTTACTTTATATAATTCCCAAAATTAAAACAAGTGAAAGCACCACCCCTCCATTACCACATGGAATGGTATATTTCCTCCTAACTTTGCACAGAGCCTCTTCATTCATGAGTGTTAGTACTGCTATATCTGCCTGTACACACCTAATTTTCAGCTGATAGTTTTCAAAGGTGTGATTATCTTAAACCTAATTGTTACACAACTTGCCGAACAAGTTGATTGGCTAGATTTTTATTTTTATCAAAAATCAAATAGTTGTATAAATAGTCACAAAAAAGCAGATCCTACTCCCTCCTCTCTCTTCCCTCCTCCATTTTATTTTGTCTCCCTAGAAGCAAACTCTTTTTGTTGTTGCTGGTGGTGGATTGGTTGGCTAGTTGTTGTTTTTTTTTAAATCATTATTATTGTTTGTTTCATTTTGTTCTGTTTTTGTAGTGCTGGGGATTGAACCCAAGGCCTGTACATGCTAGGCAAACACTACCACTGAGCTATTCCCACAGCCCTACTTTCAGTTCTTGTAAGTGGTTTTTTTTTTTTCAGCACTGAGGTTTGAACTCAGGACCTCAGACTTCCATTCTTAGCACTTGAGCCGCTCCACCAGCCCTTTCTTTGTGATGGATTTTTTTTTTTTTTTCAAGATGGGGCCTCCAGAACTGTTGCTGGCTTCAAACCTTGAGCCTCCTGATATCTGCCTCCTGAGTAGCTAGGATTACATGGGTGAGCCATTGGCACCCGGTGTAACTGATTATTTTGGTGTTTATCTCTGTATCTCAAAAAAATATGTTTAGCTCTTTCTTTTTTTGTTGTTTTTTTTTTTTGGTCCCAAACATTGTATGCACATATGAATAGTTCTTTCTTCAGTGATCTTTTTTTCATTTGGGACATAAGATGCTGATTTATTTCTCTTTCACAAACCCAGCCCTCATTATTACCACTTCTTTTCTTCTCTACCACTCCCGGTTTAGTTATAATGTGATTTATTTGGCTCAGTGTTGTGTTTTACATGATTTTGATCATGTAAATGTTTTTCACAGTGGAGCCTTATATTTATACCCTGATTATATTTCTTTCCCTTTCAGCATTTTGTTCCTGTAGTAACTAACACTTATCATTTGAGGTATTTGCTTTAAAGGCAGAATAGCATTGTATGTTTTTATTATTAATATAACCCTGTGTTTTCTGCCAGGTGTTTAAATCTTGTCTCATTTCATCCAGATGTTAATAGCTATTTCATAAGCTCCATCTTTTTTTTTTTTTCATTTTTCTTTTATTATTCATATGTGCATACAAGGCTTGGTTCATTTCTCCCCCCTGCCCCCACCCCCTCCTTTACCACCCACTCTACCCCCTCCCGCTCCCCCCCCTCAATACCCAGCAGAAACTATTTTGCCCTTATTTCTAATTTTGTTGTAGAGAGAGTATAAGCAATAATAGGAAGGAACAAGGGGTTTTGCTGGTTGAGATAAGGATAGCTATACAGGGCATTGACTCACATTGATTTCCTGTGCGTGGGTGTTACCTTCTAGGTTAATTCTTTTTGATCTAACCTTTTCTCTAGTTCCTGGTCCCCTTTTCTTATTGGCCTCAGTTGCTTTAAGGTATCTGCTTTAGTTTCTCTGCGTTAAGGGCAACAAATGCTAGCTAGTTTTTTAGGTGTCTTACCTATCCTCACCCCTCCCTTGTGTGCTCTCGTTTTTATCATGTGCTCATAGTCCAATCCCCTTGTTGTGTTTGCCCTTGATCTAATGTCCACATATGAGGGAGAACATATGATTTTTGGTCTTTGGGGCCAGGCTAACCTCACTCAGAATGATGTTCTCCAATTCCATCCATTTACCAGCGAATGATAACATTTCGTTCTTCTTCATGGCTGCATAAAATTCCATTGTGTATAGATACCACATTTTCTCATAAGCTCCATCTTATCAGCAAATCTGTCCTGAAGTCTCAGTCTTTCTCCCATCTGGACTGGCTGGCCCTGTATCTGAATGCAAAGGGGTGAGCCTTGATCTCCCTCAGTATTTTCCTGGGATCTCCTTCACCTTCCCCCTGTGTTGGAGTCCCTGCTTCTTGACCTTTCTTGTCTCTTTGTGCTGGTGAACTGTATCTTCCTGTAGCTCCCCATGGACTCTTGATTCTGGCCCCTCACATGTTAATGGTTTGGTTGTATAGAATGCTTAGTTACATATCAGTTGCCCCCACAGTAGTGAATGTAATACCCGATTGTAGGAAGGCATCTGGCATGGCTCTGGAGCTTTTTTTGTTTGTTTGTTTGTTTTATTATTCATATGTGCATACAAGGCTTGGGTCATTTCTCCCCCCTGCCCCCCACCTCCCTTACCACTCACTCCACCCCCTCCCTGCTCTGGAGCTTTTTAATGCCATCTTAATACTGATCCTTTGTAAGTGTCCTGGTTTTAGTTTTGTTGTGATTTCATCTCTAGAAATTTTATTCTTTGCCTTAATATAGACATTTTTTTCCACTAATTGTGCTGGGCATGTGACCCTTTAGTCTGGAATCACATGCTATAAAGTTTGTATTTCTTTTAGAATGTCCTCTTTACTCTATTTTTCATTCTTTGTTTCTCTGAAGCACAAATTAAACTTTTAATTCTTTAAAGTTCCTTTTTAACAGTATTTTTTTCTTATTGCATGTTCGCACTGTCTCTCTGAGGGTAAATTTTTTTGAATTTTTTTTAACTGCATTGTTTTTCTCTTCTGAGTGTCTTTTCTTTTTTTTTTAATGTGTTTGGCCCCTTCCTGCCATGTGCAAGGCTTTCTTCAAACATTTGGTCATCCTTTGCCTCTGATCATGTTTAAGACTGAAGCATTAGAAGGCCAACTGGAAGTGCCAAGTGCAAGGGTAGGAATTACTGATTGACAGGATTTTCTAGGGCAGTAGGTAGCTACTGTCTATAGGTCATTTCTCTGGGGGACATGTAGTTTCTCTAGAAAAGACTCCTCCAGTCTCTTGATGAGGAGATATAAGCCTGGTTACTGGTGTTTTAGGGCTGTGTAGGTGGAACAGGGGTTCCCGTGTGACAGAACACAGACTTCTACTAAAGAGCCTTATCCTTAGGCAGGACCCCTTGCCCATGCCCTTCCTTGTGCCTAATACCAGTATGTCTGCTAGTACTTTGCCTGGGGCTCCAGAGTAGGGAAACCTGGTTTCAGTGGGAGTAAGGACAGTGCTAATCCATGCTGGGGGACAAGGTTCTAGGAGATCTACCTGCTCCTTAAAACAAATCCCTAGTGTTCTGCTGCCTGCCTCACCCTTCCTTGCACAGTACCCAGTTCACTTCCTGAGCCTTTCCTGGGTATCCTGGTCCAAATTGTCTTGCCTTGGGCCTGTCTCAGAGGTTGGAATCCCCTTTACTTGACCAAGTAATTTACCACTTCCCTGCCACTTCTCATCATACAGTATGGTCTTACATTGAAGGCACAGCAGTCCATGATGGGATTAGATATGCAAGAGATTTATTAGAGGACTTGTGAGGGGGAAAAGTGAGAGTAAGTCAGAAGTTGTCAGAGGACAGTAGGAAGGGAGGTAAAGGAAGCACAGTGGCAAGTCACAGTATGGCTCAAAGAAAGCTTTGACTTAGCCATGGGAGACCTGAAGTCACCCAGTAGTGGTTCCTGGTATCTCACAGGAATGAGCCAGCCTCAGTCCTACTGCCTGCTCAGTCACTAGCTGATAGCCACCATGCAGGGGTGAGGCCATGGTATGAACAGAGGAATTAGATCCAAGAAGCAACAGCTCGGGCCATCTGTCACTTGTACTTCTGCAATGGGAGACCACCTAACTCATTTTCATGGCTCCAGCCAGCCCCCCGCCAAGCCCTCATGTCTACTTTTCCACATGGGTTAGGAAACAGCTCCCCTCACCAGTTGCCTTGGTCCCCTCTTCCTCAGGGGAAGTTTAGAAAATGGAGTCAGTGGGAACAGTCCCCTGTCATGCAGTTGATCTCACAACCACATGAGTACTCATTCTCTTCCCCCTCCATTATTCATTCCCTAGCTGTCACCTCGGCAGATTTCTGTGGCTTATCTATTGTGTGATCCAAACCTTCGTTCTGGAAGGGTATGGGTTCTGATGGCTCACAGTGGGCCACCCCACCTCAGAGCCACTCAGTGAACATCTCCAAGTCTCTGAATGGCTGGATTTGATATATGTGGCAGTTGGAGTAACCCCACAATAGTTCCTTGGTCTATGAAGTAAAAGTTATGAGGATAAGGAAGACCAAATGGAAACCCTAAAGTATCTCCCTCCAGATAATAAGTCAAGAACATTTACTGCACTTTGCAAGGTATAGGGATGGATAGAGGAGATTAGTGATACCATTAAAACTTCAAGGATGTCTACCTCACATCTCAGTTTAATTCACTCATGCAGCCCTTGAAGACATGGGTTCTGGAGAAGTGCTACAGATTCCCATGGACTTAACCATTGGGTGCTGCTGTGCTAGGTACTTTTAGTTGCTAAAGCAAATTAATGAAGCCTTGGGCTGTCATGTTGATTGGGCAAATGCATTCCTCTATGCCAATTGCAAAAGATGGTCAGAAACCATTCACACTTTTGTGTGGTGGACAATGATATTCTCTACAGATTTTCCAGTTCCGTGTTAACTCTTTCACCTTTTTCAACATGTTCTAAAGAGCTCATAGAGAAAGTATGGTGACGCTTGGTCTTTTTAGGTTTCAGCATCCACTTGGAACTTATTTCCAGTCATCCTCAAAACATCTGGTTTTTCTCTTTTCCAGTGTGCAGCCATCTGAGTGAAATCACCTATGAGGAAATCCAGACAGTAGTCACTTGTCACAATGTTCAGGGTCCTCCTAGGACACCTCTTCAATCAGTGGGTCTAGATCTGGGAATTGAGCAAGTGGTGGTCGATCAGGGTGGCCCACCTAGGCCCCTGCTCCTCTGTTCTTACCTTTTTTTGGTTGCAGCTGTTGGCTGCCCCTGTAGCTGCTATGCTCTTGTAGCCATCTCCACAACCCCTTGTGTGTCTGGCCTGACCTGTGAGTCAGGTGTTGTTTGTGTCTTCACCTGTGTTTCTTGTTTCCTTGTTTCAGAAGGTTCTTAAGATTTGAGGAAGCAGAATTGTCTTGATTCTTTCATCTTGAAACTGAAAGTTAAGTTTTGGAATGCTGGTGGTTGTATTGTGAAGCCTGATTAAAGTCTGCCTGTCAAGGGAGAGCTCTCAGGAGCCTCTGCAACCTCTTTACCCACCTTCTCATTGGCAGACATGGCCACCTCTCACAGTCAAGAGGGTGATGCCTTTCTGTGCATTGCATGGGAACACAGCTGTCTAAATCACAGACATCCTGATACTGGATTTTATTATTCTCATTTTCCAGCAGATGGCAGTAAAGTGTAAAGTTGTTCCAACAAAATTAGTCTACACTGACAGTTTGCTGGCAGAAGACAGTATCTTGAAATGTTTCACTGAGGTTCATCCAGCTGGCAGATAAAGGTGGTTTCCACTGTTGCCACTTGTATAGAACCAGTGTTACTGTAACCATCCTGACCTATGCATCTGTGCTCTTAGCTCTAGGACAGTCTGGAAGTCAGGGACTGCTGGATAGTAAAGTACAGTTAGCTTCCATACCCTCAGGTTCTGCTTCCATGGATTCAGCTGATTGCAGATCCAAAATATTTGGGAAGCAAAAATTACATCTGTACTGAACAAGTAGAAACTTTTTTCTTGTCATTATTCCTTAAACAATACATATTTACATAGCATTTCCATTATATTAAACACCATAAATCACCTAGAGATGATTTAAAGTATACAAGATGATGTGCATAGGTTATGTACAGATACACGACGTCTAAGCAACTTGAGTATCCTCAGATTTTAGTATCCATGGAAGTCTTGGGACCAGTCCCCAGCTGATACTGAGAGATGAAAGTATTTGTGCAATATCTTAGGTGGACTAGAGGGAGTAGGGAGAAAACCTGGTAAAAATTTATTTCATGTATGCACGTCTGTGTTAATGGGGATTGACCCCAGGACATTATGCTTATTAGGCAAGCACTCTACCACTTTATCTATGTCTCCAGCTGGACATTTTGATTGCATTTTTAACATTAAATATAAATTTGCCATTTAAATTTCAGTGGATCCAGGTTTAAAAAGAGAGCATCTTACAGTACTGAAACATAAATGTAGCTTTTGTAAATTTTTTTAATGTTATCAGCTTATCTTGATAACAGTTTCATGGTGTCACTGTCTTGGCACCCCTGAAACTGGCCAGACAGTTGGGAAATTTTCAAGTCAGGTGCCAGACAGTTTTATTGAACTTGAAATTTACACTTCAGGTATCTCCATGCTCTCCATGTGGAAATGACCTGTCATTTTGGCATTGCAGCTGCACATTCAAATACTCCTGTGAGAAGAAAAGATGTGGGTTGTTTAGAAGTAACAGTTTCTAGGGTGCGTGTGCAGACTGGACTTCCTAGGCAAGGTCAAATTCTTGTGGCCTGCGGGAGGGTTTGGGGCATAGGAGGTCAGTGCAAAGAAAGGCCCTTATGTTATGAGAGGGGAAAGTAGAAGTTGTGTGAAGCCATCGGAAATGTAGTGGAGTATATCCATTCATTTAATAAATATTTTTCTCAGAGTGTACTTATGCCAGGCAAGCTTCTGAGTCCTGGGGCACTGCTAAGTCCTTGCTCTCTGGGAGTCAGTGTTGGGAAGGGGAAGAGAAGTGGGAACCAGAAAAAGAGAAGGTGATTTCATTTGTATTACATTCAGGCTATGGAGCCAATTACACAGGTATGTGTTAGCGTGGTAAATCATTGTGAGGGGAGAAAGATTTGAGAGTAGCAATCACGGAATTCTTCTTCCAAGGAGAGAAAGAGCACAGGAAGATCCCAGGCTCAGAGAAGTCTGGACCTGGGCTGTCCAGTGTGGAGCCACATAAGGACATTGAGTGCTCAAGGTATGGATTTCAAAGTCTCAGTAGCATAAGAAGAATCTAAAATACCTCAGTCATATTTTTGTGTTAGGTATGTTCTAAAATGATAATACTATGGATATATTGGATTAGATAAAATATACTATGTAAATTAATTTCACCTGTTCCTGTTTACATGGCTACTAGAACATGTAAATTATAGACATTGTTTATATTACATTTCAGTTGAACAGTACAACTTCTCACTGATGAGTGTGAGGACCTCAGTTGGAGTGTTGGAGGAACTACAGGAAGAGGAAGCGTGGAGGATGGAGTGGGTGGTAGGCATGAGGAAAAGGTTTGAGCAAGGCAGCCTTAGGGCCCAGGAAGCTAAAGCCAGGGACTTTCAGACTCTTAGGTTTTAAGCAAAGAAGCAAAAGGGGATGAGGGAGACCACCTTCACCAAAGAAAAAGATTTCCTTCTTGTTTAGTTTTTTTGAGACAAGGCCTCACTGTGTAACCCAGGCTGGCTACAAAACTCACAATCCTCTTGCCTCAGTTTTCCCAAGTGCTTGGGATAGTGGGTGTGTACCACCACACCCGCCATCTGACTTCTCTACCCTGATTTGCTTCAATTTGAGAGTAGGATTTTCCAAAATTGTTTTCAAATCCCAGAGTTCATTTCTACCTGTCCTCCCTACAAAAGTCAGTAGTCACTGACTTCACAGTGCCTTACCAGTGAGAAATTGTGTCTCTGATATGCTTTGGTTCATTTTATTAATTTAAACCACTCCTTTACTAGGACTTGAAGCCTAGCAACATCGTGGTAAAATCAGACTGCACTCTTAAGATCCTTGACTTTGGCCTGGCCCGGACAGCATGCACCAACTTTATGATGACCCCCTATGTGGTAACTCGGTATTATCGGGCCCCGGAAGTTATCCTGGGCATGGGCTACAAAGAGAACGGTGAGTACAGACAGAACTATAAGAGCTAGGATCTTTAAAACTAGATCATGGCTGGCTGCTTCTCTTCCCTTTAAACCCTGTGAAACAGAATGTGTTGCACATTGATTATCAGAACCCATAGATGAGGAGTCTTTCACTTCTAAAATTTACTTTGAAATGATCAGTTTTGAACTGTTTTTAATCAAAGCAAAACATAGAGAAGTATGCACATCTTGAGTGTGCAGCTTGCTTTGGCCTCCCTGTATGCCCTGTCTGGGGTCTCAACCCATACAGGTGGCCATTATCCTGGTTTCCAACAATATAGATTGATTTTATTTATTTTTTGTACTCGATATTAATGCAGTATGTTCTCTTTTGTGTAAAATTGATGGTTTTAATATCAAAACTTTGCTTATTCTAGCAATATCAAAGATCTTTGAAACTTAGCTCTTAACAAATTTGTTGAAAAGAACTAAATCACATTTACTTGTAAGAAAAAATGAAAAAAGAATGAAAGTTTGCTCAGGTCTTCTGAAATAAGTTGGTAAATTTATTTCGATACTTTGTAACCTGTGCTCAGTTCCTTGTGGTTTCCTGGGGAAGGGGGAGATAATCAAATCTCCTGTTAACTTCTCATGTGCACCAACCAGTATCAGTATTTAGAGAGCTCTGCCTACTGTATATGAAGCACGGGGTTCAGCTGGGCCCCTTTCTGGGCACCACAAAAAGAGGGCCAATACCTTGCAGGCCTTGCCTGGAGTCTAACCATTCCCCATTGAGCACTGCTACCTTTCTGATGTGGCATTTTAGAAAATGATCATTGAGAAGATGTAGTGTCAGGATTTTACAACAGCTTCCACAGACAAGCTAGTGATGTTTAGTGAGTCTGTCCTTGTTTGGGAGGTGGTTTGGAAAAAAGAAATGGGGGCTCTCTAGCTTGTTTTTAATCACCTGGTGTTTGGTAGTGGACATCTGGTCTGTCGGGTGCATCATGGCAGAAATGGTCCTCCATAAAGTCCTGTTCCCAGGAAGAGACTGTATCCTTCACAGGGAGAGACCCAGCACTGGCCATGGAGGCTGGGTGGGGTGGGCATGTGGCCCTGAAAAGCTTTGTATTCAAAGGCACTTCTTGTTTTTTGTTTGTTTTGTTTTTGTTTTAAGCTGTAAAATATTGGAATCTTTGGCACTAAAACCCCAGATTGCTGCAAACCGAAGGCTAAAATAGAGGTCAGCAATCATTCATATTGTATGAAAAGTTCACCCTTAGCTAGCAATTTATTTTTCCATATTCGTGTGTTTAGTACACTGTTAGAATTCCTTTATCTTCACTTTTGTTTTTTTCATGCACTTCATAATTTTATCATTTCATTTTATTTTCAGTTGATATCTGGTCAGTGGGTTGCATCATGGGAGAGCTGGTGAAAGGTTGTGTGATATTCCAAGGCACTGACCGTATCCTTCCCCAGGACCTTGACCCTGGCCATGCTTTCCATACCAAGGGCAGCATGATGGCACCTACTTACATGAATGCTCAAAAGGAAATGTCGTGATCAAGACTGTGTTCTAAGGGGGTCTTTGTTATGTTCGTTAAATTAGTGTCACAAAACCAAGTGGTTCAGTTTTATATTTTCTTTTTAATTCAACTACCTGTGATGATTTTGTACAGACTTAGAGTTAAGTTAAACCAATTATACTAGCTTTAGGTTTATCAAAATAGCTGGATGTATAGTAAAAGAAATGACTTACTCTTTGATAAATGTATTCTGATATTTAAATGGAAACACTGTTTTATAAGTTAGTTCATACCACTAATTTAACTAAGGAAGATGCTATCGAAATTTAATAGGCTAATATTCCTGTGGGATTTAATCAAAATACTATTTTGCTAATATCATATGCATTAAAATATTTCCTGCAAAGTAAGAACTGAAGCATATTATGTGAGAGCTAAGTGAACAAGGTTACAAGGAAAATTTTGTGAGGAACACTATGTTAAATTTCCTACTTTGTTACTTTGCTGACATTTTATAAACATTTTAAAGAACTCCATCTAGAGGGTTATTTTGTGACACACTGGGGAAGGTAAATTTAAATGCAAAAGGTTAGTTCATAGTGTGGTCAGCAAATAATGTTAATGATATAAAGGAGAATAGATAATATGATAGTTATAATCATTTCTTTACTCATGCAGTCATTCTTCCATCTTTAATATTTTTTACCCTAACATGATTCTTCACATAACCCTTTTTCTTCATTTGTGTTCTAACCTCTTGATATTTTCACTAGTCTTTGATTTTGTTTTTGTTATAAAAGTTTACAGTGTTCTCTATCTGATAGCAGATAGATAGTTATTTTTATGTTTTATTATTTCTTTATTTTTTTGCAGTGTGAGGGTTTGAGCTCAGGGCCTTGAACTTGCTAAGCAGGCATTCTACCACTTGAGCCATGCCTCCAGCATGATGGTTAGTTTTAAAGGAAATCAGTCCCCTGTAGTCAGAGTTTTGTATATATTTTGTGAAAACACTTCTAGTTTTAATAATTTTATAAAGACAGTTTTCTTAAAATATGAGTTCTTCACAACATAAACTTGGAATGAAACAACTTTATTCCTATCATTTTATCTACCTTCCTTTACATTTTCCAAGTCATAGGTTATAGTGAGGTTAATATATGAGGTTAAATACAGCATTTCATTTTATTCTAATAGTTTTTCTGGCATGTTTCTATAGACATATCTCAGATTCACTCATTTCAAATTATAAATAAGGAAGTCTTCATTTTTCAAGTAAACTTAATGAAAAATGGAAAAGTTGGTGTTTTTTAAAAATTAATAATTTAGAAGTATCTACCTAATAATGTTTAGTTTGATTTAGTTTGATTTCATTTTATGCCTTTTTTGTTTTACTAAGGAGTATTTTCTCCAAAAAGTACAAAAAAAAGAATGTGGATGCTTTTGATTCATTTTAGTAATTTAAATTTACATATTAACATCCAATGTCAGTAATTAATATTTTGGAGGGCTTTTTGGTGGGACTAGGAATTAATGGTTTATATATAAAGTGACCTAATATTAGTCTCAAAAGTCATACAGAGATTAACATCATTTTTTTAAGAAAATTTCACCAACTTTTTCAAATATTAAATTGAAAATTTGGGAGGTGTAAAAAGGCCCCAAAAGCCAGACTAAGGTTCTCAGAGATTTGCTTTAGATTTCTGATCTGGGGTAAGAAAAGGAATTTTTGTTCCCACCGTGTTCTATGAGAATGAAAAAACTTTTAGCCAGGCTACTTTGAGCTCAGGTTCAAACATCCCCATGGTAACCATGTATCCTCCAGAAATTCAGGGTCTTTCTGAGCCTTGGTTTCCCATTTTGTAAAATGAGGCACCTGTGCTCTGCCACTCAGGGTCATGGGAGTTAAATGACAATAGTAACTGTATACCAGAGAAGGTCCACCAGATGTGACAGGATTGTCGTTCCTTCCCCACCCTCCTGCATCTATAAAAATGGCACTACATTATTAACCCACAGATATTCATTGAGAGCCTACCCATTTCTAGGTGCCTAGTCTGAGTTAGGTTTTAAAAGGCTCACTCCAGCAGTAGAGTTGAAGGTAGACCGTTAAGGACAGGGTAGAAGCAGGAGACCACTGCAGAGGTGGTGAGTGAGTCGGCAGTGGGAGATAGCAGAGGCTCAGAGAAGTGGGTAGGAGTGCAGGCAGGGAGAAGGGCCTGTTCTCCCATCTGCTTTGAAGTTCTACCCTTCATATGGCCTGTTGAGGATTTTTTGGAGGTAACAATCAGTAGAAATAGCAAGTGTAAAATTGAGGGAGAGATCTGAAATTAAGACATAAGTGTGGGAGTAATTGGTCTGTTAATAGCACTGAAACCTTGAGCTGGTAACAAGCACTAGGAAAGAGAGGAGAAAAGGACCAAGAACCAAAAAAAGGACTGAGAATTGAGTGTTGGATTTAGTGATGTGGTGATGGACACTGATGAGCAATTTTCACAGAGTGGAGTGAGGAGAAAGTCTGATGAGAATATGTTTAGAAGAGAAGAAGAGACTGGAAATTAGAGACAGAAGTATAGATAAAGAAGTTTCACTGCAAAGAAATGGAGTGATAGCTAGTGGGAATTAAGGAGGTTAAAGAAAATGGCTATTGTGTTAACATGGGACAGAAAAAAGGCGTCATGTTTGAATGATGGAAGGTTCCAGTGCAGAGCATGTTGACAGTATAAAGAAGTGAGAAGGAAGAATAACAAGAGTTTATCCTTGAGTTGGTGAGATGGTAGGACTGGCTTTAGCCAGGAGCCCAACTGGTTCCCAGTGGTAGACGATATACAGATGGGTTGGGGCATCACAGGGGGTCTTGTGATTGACTCAGCTTCACAGGGAGGAGTGCACATGGGAAGAGGTGTTGAAAGTATAAGGAAAGTGGGATAAATGTAAAATAGTTTTCACGTTGTAGCTACAGAGGTAAATAAATGAAGAATTGACTAGTGATTTGAATCTCTGAAACCCATTTTCTAAACAGGACTTCTGAAATGCAACATTTTGAAAGAACTAGTTTATGTGCCTAGGCCCTGAGTGGTTTCATGAGGACATAGTTCATGGTTCTGACAAGTTCCCTGGTCAGTCACTATTTTGAGCTGCCATGTATATGATTTTCCACCTTGCATTCACTCATGTAGCTGTTTACAGTTTCAGTATCACTTTCCACACACTCTATTCCAACTGTCCCAAGCCTAACAAGTACCCTGTGAACCAGGTGAAGCTGTTATCATCTGCACTGTACAAATAAGGAAGTTGCCCCAAGGAAGATTGACTTCCCTGAACCTTGAATTTGAAACCAGGTCATGTACTTTGAAAGGAAATAAAATGCATTACTAGTCTTTGCAGAGATGTTGGGATGGGTCAATGCCAAGTAAAACAAAATGACATCTGAAAGCTGTCACAGTCTCAGTCTCAGGTTTCAGGAAGGAATGTGGTCCTCTAGGAAAGGCCTAAGCTGAAAGTGCAGAAAGGCCAGAGCCCTGGTTCCTGCCCCTTCCCTCATTGCGCCACCCTCGGCCAGCCTGTCCTATAGGGCTTTGTTTGCCAAGCTGTAAACTGGGCAGATGAGTTGCTTGAGCTCTTCTTGCCCTCAGAGAGAAGTAGCTTATTATGAAAATTGATTTCAATTTGCTTATGTAATGCTTACCTAATTTCATGTTTAATCATTTCTGTCATAATTTTGAACTACAATGGGAAGGCATATTGACATCATTATTTTGATTTAATAAACTGTGATAATAGTTTATAAAGACACAGAGTATAAGAGGTTTGTTTTGTTTTTTTTTTTAAGTAGTCTAATTTGGAAACCCAAACCTTACTTGAATATTATTTCTAAATGCTTCTCTGGCTCGGGAGGGTGGCTTACTTACTGTTCCATAGGGGTAGATACAATCTTCCTTCACATGATGCTACCACATGTAATATGAGTATAAGGCATTTCAGTTGTATTTTCCTCAAGAGAATCCTTAGATATTGATCAGTGGAATAAAGTCATTGAGCAGCTAGGAACACCATCTGCAGAGTTCATGAAGAAACTTCAGCCAACTGTGAGGAATTATGTAGAAAACAGACCAAAGTATCCTGGAATCAAGTTTGAAGAACTCTTTCCAGATTGGATATTTCCGTCAGAATCTGAGCGGGACAAAATAAAAAGTAAGATGTGCTTTTATTCTGCTACTTTTGCTTTCTCAGGTTTGTGTTCTAAAGCCTGTGAATGTTAGGAAATAAAATAGTTGAAACCGTGAAGCAAAGTCACCTATAGACTCTAGTCTGATGTGTGAAGGTATTGTGGAGAGAAAGCTTAAAGACTAAGAGTTTCATCCTCAATAAAACAGTTTAACTAAAGCCTTTGGCCAAAATTAAAATATGCAAATCAGTCTAAAAGACTCTTACATTACAATATCAGCAATCTGATTTCAAAAAGTCTTCATATATGAAGAACACTTGAATAAAGATTCTAACTTTGTAAAATAGGCATGATGTGCACTATAATCCCAGCACTCAGGAGACTGGGGTAGGAGGATTGCAAGTTCAAGGCCTTGTTCTTGCATAACAAGAACCTTGTTCTGCGTAACAAGAACCTGTCTCATTTAAAAAAAAAAAATGCTGCTGTCTTGGAAAGTGAATATGATTAAAGTACATTGTGTGTGTGTGTGTGTGTGTGTGTGTGTGTGTGTGTGTGTGTGTGAAAATGTCAAAGTGAATATTTTGTACAATTAGTATATGCAAAGAAAAAGATTGTAGAGTTAGAAACCATATGAGAGTATTTCAGTAAAAAAAAAAATGTTCCTCTTGCCATTCTCCTGTGTCTTTCCCTGAAATGTGATTGCCTAATGAAAAACAGTAGCTTTGTTTCTCTCTACATCCAGGTAAGCTATACATTAGTCAGAAAAGGCCCCCACCCCCACTCTTTTTTTTTCATCTCTACATGTTGTAAATTGCAGTAGCCAAAACCTCACTGAGCCTTCTGTTTAACTTGTTGGGTTTTTTCTAACTGTTAATCTCTAGATTTTATATATATATATATATATATATATATATATATATGTTGCCAGCACTGTATATAGCTAATAAAGCAGGGGCATCTGTGAAGTGTGTAGTACTGTGGGAATTGAGATTATTTTCTGTTTTATGTCTGTTCTAATTTCGTTTTAAGGTGACATGTAGAAAAAACACTCCCCTGCACTTCAGGCCCACACTCAGCAGCACCACCCTGAGCTAGGCACTCACCACCTTTCCAGCCATGGTTTCTCAGCTGCAGGCCCTATCTGAACACTGGTCTGAGGCTGCCTACCTAGTACCCTCACCCCACACACCAGAGCCCATGTTTCCCCTCCCCCATCCCAGACCCAGGGCCTTAGAGCCACATTGAAAGTCATGGGCCCTATTGATCTTGAACCCATTAAACATTTCTTCAGATTAATCTATCTTTGTTCTATCTGTGCTGTCACATTCAGTTCTTTCTTTCTTTCTTTCTTTCTGGTTTTCCTTGTTTCAGATTAACAGCTTAAGTATATTAATTTAGTATTTTTTATCCTAGCAAGTCAAGCGAGAGATCTGTTGTCAAAAATGTTAGTGATTGATCCTGACAAGCGGATCTCTGTAGATGAAGCCTTGCGTCATCCATATATTACTGTTTGGTATGACCCTGCTGAAGCAGAAGCAGTAAGTATCTACTTAGAAAAGACTAACATGTAGAGGCAGGGACAGATCTCTTTTTTTGGATCTTTTGGGGGACTTGCTATTGAGGCTGTGGCTCAGAGTACCTCAGGAGTGAGCGTGTTTATGCTGTGGTGATATAGTTGTCTTTGTGCAAAGCTAATGTGTGACAATGATTTATTAAGCATCTGTTCTGTGCCTGGAACTGTGCCATGCCCTTGGTTATATCCTCTTTTTTAAGTCTCTGAATCAAAGGCACTAAGCAGCTTGCTGGAAGGGACAAGTTTGTTTATCCTTCCCCAAGTCATCCCTTGACCCTTGCACGGGGAGTTCCTCTCCATACTTGGTGTTCATGTGCATCTTCCATAGTGTCAGTGGTGTGAATGATCTTTAACTGTGACAGATTTGTCACATTCAGCAAGTTGCTTAGCCTCTCTTAATTCAGGGGCACAGTGCCAGGCTGAGATCAGCTTTTGCATAAATAACGAGGTACTGGGTTTGATCCTGTGCACTGCAAGGAGACCTCAAAGAAGCACTTGTGGTTGTTAATTTTGTAATTGCATTTAGGCAGATATCTGTAGAGTGTCTTGGAGTCATATGATTATTAAGAGGATTATTATTAATAGCTTTCTTTTTTGTTTAATTTTTCTTTGCTTCTGAATCTTATGTACTAACACCCAGCAAAAATATAATAAACTATATGTTAAGGAAATTAAATCCATGTCATAAGTGGACTAGAAATATTTCAAATGTTACCTTTCCACCATGCCTCACTATTCTTTGAACTATTGACCTTACATATCATTTAACTTTTAGCCACCACCTCAAATTTACGATGCCCAGTTGGAAGAACGAGAACATGCAATTGAAGAGTGGAAAGGTGAAGGCCGCTTATTTTGATCCTTCCTTACGACATTTGGTACAAACCTGGGAAGCCGAGGGGTTTTGGTTTTTGACATTAGCCCTTTGGGAACTGGCTGGGGACCCAGCAACCTAGCCTTCTTATCTCTTGCTCCCCATTTCCCAGTTGAGAAAGAACTTGAGGATGACAGCATTAGAGAGGACATGTGTGAATTCATACTGCTTGCCTCAAGAGTGAAATATAAGGGCTTTTTCACATGATTTTGTAGTACCAAATACTGGTTTGTAAATTGAACTCAGTAATTATATCATACTTCTCTTGATAACATTTTGCAAATTTGTCAAGTAACCTCAATACTCAGGCCATATACTACCTACAGTTTCCTATCTAAGCAGACATGGTGGCTAGGGGTGTCTGGCTGAGGTTCATGTAGTTGTATATGTTTAAAACTACGTATATGTTTAAAAAACCTAGTTTGGGGAAAATTTGCCAATCAAAAATAGGTAAGAAAGTTTTATTAACCCCACGAGATTAACTATACAACCCACAATGAGCTAAACTCTTAATGAAGATATTGAACTATCAGCAGGATCAGAGATGGGCATAATAGTACATGCCTGTAGTCCCAGCTACTCTGGAGGCAGAGACAGGAGGATCACCAGTTCAAGGCCAGCCTAGGCAAAGGTAGTAAGACTCTGTCTCAAAACAAAAATAAAAATAAGAACAAAGGAGCTCAAGTGGTACAGCACTTGCCTAATATACATGAGTTCCTAGATTCAATCCCAGTACCACAAAAAAAAAAAAGGAATAGTAGTAACTGAGAACGGTGGTCAGTGCAGGTCAATGGTGGTGACAGGTTGGGCCCTTCCCAGGATTTGGTGTGCTGGTTACCCACAGAGGTACACGTGACCACACTCACAAGCCCAAGTATATGCTTGCCATATTCTAGTGTTAGTTCACAAATGCCAAAATTTTTGGAACTCCTAATAACTTATTCTCTTCAATTAGTTGATATCAGTGACTGTGGAGGGAAACTGAAGTTGCAGCCAAGACATGACTTAGGCCAGTCTGGAGTAGCCAGTAGCCCGCATGTAGATACTGGTTACACAAGTAATGTGGAGAGAAATGCATTCACATGGCTTTGAGACCATCCAGTCCTTTCAAATGTCTCTGAGTATTTCTCTCTCTCTCTCTCTCTTCCTCTCTCTCTCTCTCTGCTTTCATGTGGACTTACAACAGCCCTACATTATTTTGGCTGCCTTAAGCTATGATGGGGGCTGGGGATGTATCTCAGTGGTAGAGCACTTGCCTATCATGTGCAAGGCCCTGGGTTTGATCTCAGAACATGGATGTTTTGGTCCAGATAGACTGTATTAATGAATTAACTGTCTATCACAATTTAAAATAACACATCACAGTGCCCTTGGAATGGTTCACTTGATTTGGAAGCAAAGTTTAAAGATGTAGAGAAACTGACAAAGCATTTTCACTTGCATTTCCATTTGAAGAGCTAATTTACAAAGAAGTAATGGATTGGGAAGAAAGAAGCAAGAATGGCGTTGTAAAAGATCAGCCTTCAGGTTAGTGATTGCTTTAATTGTGTGCTAGGATAATCTCTTTGCCTATTCAACTGTTACAAATGGCAATAATGTGTTAAATGCCCATTTGGCCACCATTGGATGTGAAAATCCGGCAGTGAAATCGTCTTTCATGACATCATCCCTCCCTTTTTGGCTTGTCCTGGTGGTTGTGGTAGCTACCACTCACATTTTGTTGATATGCTAGATGCTGAGCTAACTGCATTTTGAGCATTCTTGTTTTATCCTTTCAACAACTGCTGTCAGCTCCCGTGTATTGACGAGGGGATTGAATTGAAAGGCTTTTCAGTGTGTGGCCCTCTTTGTACTTGTCACATCCAGGTAAAAAAACTAATGTAAATCTAGGTAAAATGGAATTTTGTTTTCTTTTAAGAAAATTGCTCAAATAATTACCCCATTTTTATACTTGACCTCCCTGGTGGCTAACTAATTGTGAAATTATGAGAGAGACTGATATTTATATCTGTAGGTTTCTACCTATTTACTAAGTGAAACATGTTTATTTTCCCACTCCCACTAGAAGTCACATGCACATACATAGAAGTATAAATTGCATGGTTTATTTCTTGTTCTTGAATTTTATATTCAACATGACATATGTGTCAGCCATCTACAGCTTACGTAACTTAAGCAAGAATTTAGGAGTTTGTTACTAACCAGGTATAAACTTAACGCTGCCAGTGTTGGTCTCTGAGAGCCTGGAAGCTTTATTTTTGCTCAAACTAGACTAAAATATGGATAGTAGGAAATAGGATAGTTTCATTTTCCTTCAGAGATTAAAATATCAATTTTCTGGACTAATAAACCAAAAATAAATTGTAGAAGAGGCTACTCATTTTTCCTTTTTTTGGTGTACAGTCTTTATCTCAGATGTTTTTATTGCAAAAATTTTCTTTGAATGTTCATGCACTTGTCCATAGACTTAGTGTTTATAAAATGGAAATGACTAATGACACTTGAATCCTATTCGGGCTTAAGCCTCTTGTGATACTTTTATAATAGATTCACAAGTTTTCTTTGAAGGTCAATTTGAAACCGACAAGTTTTGTTTTTTTTTTTTTTTTTTAACAACAAGTATTTTTTAAGTAGTTAACGTTATCACACACAACCACTTACATGTTTAGCCACAGGAAGTAAAAGAAGAGTGTTATAGGGAAAGATATAAGATAAATGGGATCTTAGGGCAAAAACAGAAGACTCAAGGAAATGTTCAAAATGTAGATAGTTAACTAACTCATTGTTTAGCTAGGATTCGGAAACTGCAAAAGCACAGAGCCAAGATATGGCGTAAAGTTTCATTGCCTAGATTTGCATCAATGTCGTGCCTCAGATTTTATTCTATTTGGTTTTCTTAGCACAGATGCAGCAGTAAGTAGCAACGCCACTCCTTCTCAGTCGTCATCAATCAATGACATTTCATCCATGTCCACTGAGCAGACCCTGGCCTCAGACACAGACAGCAGTCTCGATGCCTCAACGGGACCCCTTGAAGGTTGTCGATGATACCTTGGAAACAGAAAACTGTCATCAGTGAAGGAATGCTCACCTCCATGCTCCCAAAATGTGTGGAAGTTGATGGAACCAAATAGAAAACTCCATGTTCTGCATGTAAGAAACACGATGCCTTGCCCCTACTCAGTTCTCATAGGATTGCCTGTTTAGATTATAAAATGAAGCAGATTATGTCTGAAGAAAAAAGTGCAAGCCACACTTTTAGAGATTTTGTTCAAGATCATTTCAGGTGAGCAATTAAAATAGATGACTTCTTCACAAGTTGTGTGGTAATAGTGGTGACAATTTCCCATCATCCGTAACTGTTGGGACTTAATGCATGTGACCACAAATGCTTGCTTGGACTTGCCCATCTAGCACTTTGGAGATCAGTATTTAAATGCCAAATAATCTTCCAGGTAGTGCTGCTTCTAGAATGACCTCTTAATCCTCTTAAGTAATGTGGCATTTGTCCAGAAAAAAAGATTTATGTATAATTAATTGGCCACCATCATATTATCATATCTTATCCTCTTTTATGATATGATTTATTCTATCTTTTGTATTTCAGAAGAAATATAATTAAATCTATTTAATAAATAAAAGTTTAGCTTTTCTTAAATTTGTGATGTTTTTGGCTGAGAATTATCACTGCTAAAACCAAGACATTTATACAGACACTGTTTCCTCTAAAATTGTCTAGTGTGGGATGATTCAGCTTTACTGCATGATAAAATTTTCAGTTTTATGTGGCTTAAGACATATATATATATATATATACCTTCAAAATACTGTCTACATTCTCTTTTTTTCTTGGTCTTCTGAACTTCTTATAACCTTAATTTCACCTTCTTTGTCAGACACCTAACACTCTCTCTCAGTAATATGCTGGCAAATAGATTCCTGAATCCAGTGTTAGAGTAGAACTTTACAAAATTGTCTCTCAAGATCCGCCATTTACAAATGCTTCCTTTTCTAGAGCCTGGCCTGGGTCTTCTGCTTACTCCCCCTCATTTGAGGTGAGATACAAGGTGATCTCACAAGACAGTGTGTCCTTTTGCCAACACCACATTATAACTCAGTTCTCTTTCTCCCTGAAAGAAGCCAGGCCAAGCCCCCATGGTATGTGGTAGGCCAAGCTGACTCAGAATGCCTGTTTGCTGCTGTTTTCCATTTTGTGGAAGCATTTCCTTTTCCTAAGGGAAAGCCATGAATGTTCTGGGGAAATTCTTCAGAGGGATATGGAGGAAAAACCCTAGAGAGTAGTGATTCACTCTTCAACATTTTCTGCTCACCTAAACTGCTCACCTGAAATTGATACTTTCAGACTTCCTGATGTGTAAATTTTTCAAAATTAATTAAGATACTGAGTATTTGTGTGTCATGCAGAAATGGAGTTCCAGTGGTCACATTTCGGCTACCTGTGTTCGGAATGTTTTCTCCCCTTGAGCTTACTTTGTTACCAGTTCATATCTTATGTTCAATTATTTTGAAAGCTATTTGGTCAGCATTCTATAGACTGTGTTCTAAGGAGGAACTTTGATAAGAAAGTTTATCATAAGTATTATCTGGAATGTCTGAAATATGTGATTCTCTCTGTACCAATTGTATCATAATGGTTGGTCTTATTACTGGAAACTGGAACCCTTGATGAACAAAATTAATCTTAAAATAAGAAATAGTTTTATATCATGCCATTTGGACACTTTCAAGTACAAAGTGGAAGTGGTAACTTTATTGGAGACAGAAACAACTATTACATGGCTTAGGATTACTTTAGTCCTGGAAGGCTGATGTTATAGTTAAGAAAGTTGTCACTATACATACATAAACATCTTATAATGGCCTTCTCACTAATACACATTATTTTAAGCCTTCACTAAATCTATTTTTAAAAGGAAAAGCAATGGGGAGTATTGTAAACTGTGTTATCTGCCCTACGCTCTATAAATGCAGCATCCTGATGATGAGGGCTCGTCCAGGTCCCACTTACGAGGAGACATCTATAAGTGGACGAGGTGCAGAGTGGCTTTCTGCAAACCTATTCTCTCTGTGTGTCCTGTGAGCCTATTGTCACAGATGGTGCCCGTGCTACTGTGGAAGGTCCTGTCAGGTAGGCAAGTGCACTTGGGATTGTCTGCAGAGCTCCACAGAAATACCTCACCCTAGTTTCAGGGTCCTTCCTCCTGAGCCTACATTTGCCAGGGTCCTGAGGCAATCAGATGGTTTCAAGCTGACCTCTGTGGATAAACGCGGATGTTGGATAAAGAACTGAAAAATGTGCTCACCTTTTTCATCTTTTCTATTTTATTTTTGTAATTTATATTGTACACACCCTGGAAGTAACTATTTTGGACAAATATTTTTATAAACCAGGTAATTGATGATTATCTGGAATTTGAACTAGATTTGTTTCTTTTGTGGCTTAGTTTTGGTCAAAAAAGAAATGACCGTCTCCCCTATGTGCGGGTCTCAATTTCAAGCTCAGGTTCTAGAGTCCTGTCAGGATAGGAGAGCAGTCTAGGAACACTGGCTGCACGGTCCAACAGTCATGGCCTGCAGATGGAGCCAGCTCTGCTCTTATCTTTGGAACACAAAACTCAGAGCCCCTGTTCTGAAGGAGAAATCCCTGAGAGCCCCTTGCTGGTACCAGGGTCCAGATGAGAAACACTGAATGGGACACTGGTTGACCGAACTGAATGCTGTGTACGTCATGATAACAGTGTTTGAGTTCATCTGGTTGATTTCTGGTGACACACCTTTGGTATTTCATACTGGTAGTAAATATCTCAAAAGTAACATTGCCTAATGTTTTATAATAAAAGATATGTGTGTTTGATGGTAAAATATAATACAGACTACATTTGAAAAGAGAAATGTATAGCATGTCCAATTTTTGTGTGTTTTTAGTAGCAATTGACTGTATCTTTCTACATCACCATCTCTGATTACAGACTTAACATGAATGTGAGTAGATATTGGAGTGCTATGATTTCAGTCAATATTGCAAGTGTTTTCAAACTGAAAGTCAAAAAACCTTCTCTGTTCTCTTATTGAAAATATTCTCAAATTCCTGAATCTGAGCTTTCAAAACAATAGCCGTAAGTTTTGACTTCAAAAACATGCGTATATAGAATTGAATACTCAGAGTATTAATGAAACTGTTTTCTCACAAGCTGTAACCAGGAGAATCTGCCAATCTGTCTTTATTTATATTACTTACAATCATCAGCAGTGCTTGTGTACTTGTATTGTGCACAGGATGAGCCACTTTCATCTTGATTCTGGTTTCAAGCACTTCAGGATGTTTGATACCTAAAATAGCAGGATTAGCAAGGCCCTCCTTTTCTCTGCTTAAAAGAACTAGAACCATTTCAGATAAGTGTCAGTATTAGTTTTAAAAATCTCTAAATTTGGAAAATACTTCTCTTATGTTAGTCTGAATTCCATTTCTCTATCCTACTCCTACCCCTCCTTCAGTGTAGACAGCACCTAAATACTTTTTGTTTATTGACTGTAGTGGTCGATGTAGGTGGGTGGGCTTTTAGGGGCTAAAGGGATGATAATATTCCAGAATAACCATGTAACCAGCCACTTAATGTCCTTAAGATTCTGTGCCTAGTCCTGTGAATTAAAGGGTAAGGTTGCCTTTGACAATAAGGCAGTTATTTGATATTTTTAATCAGGGAAGTCAGCAACAAGATCAGCAGTAACAGTGACAGAGGGGTCAGTCACATCTTGCAGCTGAATATGACCATGATTGAAGAGGGATGCATCTGTCACAGGGTTGAGAGCCAGTCATGTGTTATGCCCTCAAGGCCCAGGAACTGCATGCCCCTCCAGACTTTGAAAGACCAGGATTTAGGGCCTCATCGTGAGCAAAAGTACTTTCTACTTCCTTTCTTTGCCTTGATGTTTTGGAGTTGGAAGGGAAATTCAGTCATATTGCCTATCCCCCACCATGGACAGCAAAGTGAAGTGAAGAGAGAAGGCATACCTTGCCCAGGATTAGGAAGTAAATAACAGGTGTGCTCCTGATTACATATTCTCACCAATCTCATTCTTCTCATTTATAACACCTTTGAAATCCAATGAAAATATCACTCTACCAAATATCACAAGTACAGAATCTTGCCCATGAGAATCCCCTGGGCCCCAGTGGGTATCATATTAAGAGCCCTTCTAAATGGAGCTTCTAGAAGCTCCATGTTCTCTGGGAAGCAAAGCCAACAGGAGGGTTCTGACAGCCCTTTCAGCTCTTCCTGTCTCTGATACTTGTTCACAGACCTCAGTGTAAATAGGAATATATTCACTCTGAGCCCCAGCACACGTCAATTTTTTTATTTACGTCAAAAAGAGAATGTGTATCTTAGTTTCAATGAAATGCACCTTCCACATAGAACTTCTGTGCTTACAGCACAGACTTTTGACACATAGGTATAATTAAATGTATGTCTCAATTTAAAAGTAGTAATTTAAAAAGTCCTGGGCTGCACTTCAAAATAAATTCTCTTACTTAAATCTGTATTTTATTTTTTTTTAACTTTTTTTGGGTTTTTTTGGTGGTTGAACTCAATCTCAGGCTTGCTAGGTGGGCAATAGCTAATTCTCCCAAAAATATTTTCCTCCCATCTCCCCAAAACTCCCTGTTGATTGTCACAATTTTTATAAGTATGCTTTAAAGTTAATTCCACTGATACACATATTGTAGAGTATGAATGGACAGAGATGTTCACATCCTGTAAGGTAAGAGTGATCCAAAGAGTTCCTCATAATAGTCATCCAGTCCCTGCTCAGATGGTTTTCATGAAGGGGATTCTCCTCCCACTGATTTTTTTGTTGTACTTTTGGCTGTTAGAAAGTTATTTCTTAAGTTGAAATGAGACCTGGCTCTCACAACATCCACTCATGGGTCCCAAGCCTTCTCTGGATTTATTCCAACCCTCTCTCAGATTAAAACCCTCAGTCACTACATCAGAGGCCCATTTGTCGGTTATCCCCTTAAAATATAAGCCCAGACGTGAATAAAGTATTCCAGATACAGCCTAAGCAGTGAACCACCCCCCCACAATTAATTCCTTAGAACTATGTATTATTCTGAGTCTGAGGTCCATCAGAATTCCTGGATTTTGCTAGGCACCAGTGACTCACGCCTGTAATCCTAGCTACTCAGGACCTATCTCGAAAAACTATCAAAAAAAAAATCCTAGATTTTGTGTTGTTGCAGTTAATCCTGATTCTGTCATCTTTCATATACATTCTGCCACTTTGTGACATCTGTTTTATGAGCATGAAGATGCCTTCTAAAAGGCAGTTGGTGACAAGTGGCCTTAAATAGTAGCACAAAGCCTTAGGGCAGACCTCAGCAATTATAGGGGCAGGATCCATTGAGCCAATGTTGTGTACCTCTTCAGAAGGGTAGTTCATTCAGCCCATATGGAATGTTTATTTATTTATTTATTTATATATTGGTGCTACTGGAGTTTGAACTCAGGGCCTCCCTTTTGCTAGGCAGGTGCTTTACCACTTGAGCCACTCCACCAGACCTTTTTTGTGTTAGGTATTTTTGAAATAGGGTCTTGAGAACTGTTTGCCTGGGCTAGCTTTGAACCATGATCCTCCTGATCTCTGCCTCCTGAGTAGCTGGAATTATAGGAATGAGCCACCAGCACCCAGCTGAAATGTCATTCTGCCACAAAGAAGGACCTTGATGGACAACTTCAGAGAAATCATGAACACAGTTCTGTAGCACTCTCTGATTTACTTACTAGTCATGTTTCAAGAGAAGGAATGAGTTTGGTACCATGCACTTGTTCTCAGAATTCATTCTTTCCATTTTACTTGGGAGGAGCAGGTTGTGAGTGCCAGCATCCCCTTCAGAATCTATATTTTTGCTCTTTGGCCACTAAGAAAACATGACTGGTTTTGTCCTAGCACCCATAGGTGTATGAATGAGTAAGGGAGCAGGACAGAGCATGTCCTGGCCTTGTTTTGTTTCTGTTTGCATACAGAAGTGATGTATTTTGAAATCTGTGTAACTGTGACTCCACAAAGGGCCATAATACTAACAACAAGCAGCCTTCCTATTGCCCATTGACTACAGAAATGTTTCTGTCAAGGCAGAGTCTGGCTGGCTGCAGCTGGGTTTGATTTCAAGTTTATCATCTTGAGCATACCTGTCCTTTTTTCCAGACTCCAATCAAAGTCTGTGTATGTATGATGTCTGGTTTCTGGTTGGAATGTCTTTGAGTATTTTCTAATCCCCCATGAAATCAACTTGTGGTACCAGGCAGGTTGCTATGGCTTGTGTATTGTTTTGTCTCCCAAAAAAATTTATCAAAAACAAGACAGATTTCAAAAACTGAGGTCAGCATTAAACTCAAGAGATCAACAATAGACCAAGCCCAAAGAACAAAAAAGAAGGAATAATAACAAAGAGCAAGGATCAAGAAACTAGAAAACAAAATGAGAATAAAATTAGCAAAACCAAAAGATTAATAAAACAGACAAATCTCTGCCAATACGGATGAAAAGAAGCCTAGGCAAGAAACATGCAAGGTGGAAAGGGGGACAACCAAAGCCATAGAAGAAAACTTTTGCATCATTCTAACAAATGTGATAGTCTACACAAAGCAGATAGATTTCTGTAGAAATACAAAGTACCAAACTTGGCTCAAGAAGAATAGGTAGGCACATCATGCATGTTAACTTAATTCAGCTCAGCAGTTCTATGAGGTAAATATTACTGTCTTTATCCTAAGGTTAGGGAGACAGAGGCAAGAAGAGAACTTGAGTTCCCACATCCAGGGTCTGAGGCTGAATGAGCTGTCACCAGTTCCATCCTCTTAGCTCCTAAGTGTTCTGAGCTTCCAAAACACCTGAATGATTAGTGACCATCAAAGAAAATGAAGTGGTAACCAAAAGCTACCCACCCCACCCCAGCACAAAACAATCTGACAGAACAGTTTTCACTAAACTTTCAAGGAACAGATGGACTCTACTGAAGATTTCCAAAGCTCCCCACCCCATCCGGTTACTGAAGTTATTCTCATATGGAGTCCCTCAAGATGGAGAGGATTATATGCCCTTTTCATAGACGTGAACTGAACCCAGCATTGGATGGTTTATTCAGAATACAAGAGTGCCTCCCACATTCCTACAGATAGCTTAGTTTTGTTTTCTTTTTAAAATTGGGGAAAAAAAACTCTACATAGAAAGGAACTTCCTTTATGGAATGGAAGGGCAAGGGGAGGCAGCAAATTTCAAACCCTCCCCATCTTAAATGTCTTCATGGAAGAGGGCAAAAGTTAGTAGTGAGGAGATAGGGCCAGCATGACTCTCTGCTTGTACACATATACAGGTGTATGCATGTGTGCATGCATGTACATGTGTACCTATAAACTGATGAGACAGAAGAGAAGAGGGCAAAGGATTTGACAAGGCCACTCACAGAAAAGGAAATCCCGTCAGCCTGCCAGTCACTCGAGTCTAGAAAGAACCAAATGGCCACTTACCCCAGCTGGAGGCAGAAAGTGCTCCCGGAACCCTTGACTACTCTACTCAAAACAACAGGAATCCTTCTGCATGTCCATGACTCCTCAGATAAGCAAGGATGTTCCCCAATCCCCCGGCCTCCAAGGGTCCTCATCTTCAAACTCTTCTCATCTGCTGTCCCACTAGATGCCATTCGTTTATTCAGTTTCAACAAACATTCTCGGAGCATCGCTCTTCTGGACTCGGGGCTGGAGATAGTCGCGCACGAGACTCACAGTTCTTGCCCCTGGGGACCTTCATACTCCATGGCTGCTGTCATGGTGGGTGTAATCAAATAACCACATCAGTCTGTCCGCAGCCTCAGCTGGAGATGAGTGCTGAGTAGGATGGAGCAGGGAAAGTGTAATACGAGGCTCACAGCTGATTAGGGAAGATTCCCACACACGCTTCTTAAGACAGGGTTTCACTGTGTAGTCCCAGGCTGACCTGAATTCACCA